GTCTTCAGCTTGGGCAGCAGAGCCCTAATCTGCTGAGCCATCTTTGGTGCACTTGTTCGCTATTTATTTATTTATTTATTTATTTATTTATGTATGTATGTATGTATTTTTTTTTAGACAAAGTCTAGCTACGTATCCCTGACAAAACACATTCTGCAGATGAAGTTGGCCTTGAGTTTGTGGCGATCTTTTTGCCTCTACCTCACAAATGGTGAGATGACTAGTGTGTACCACCATGTTTCACTAACATGGTTTAAAAATTAGATTTTAGCTGGGTGTAGTGATGGCACTTGGGAGGCAGAGGCAGGCAGATCTCTGTGAGTTCAAGGCCAACCTGGTCCACAGAGTGAGTTCCTGGATAAGCTGGACAAGGAGAAATAGGAAACGTACAGTTTGAAGAGAAAAGGAGGACCAGGAAAGATGATGATGCAGCCAAATCCTGTACTCAAGGAGATAAGAAGTTTCAAGAAAAGCTGGATACTAAATGGATAAAGGGAGTGGTGATCTTAGGGCAGGACCCCACACAGCAGCTCAGCTTCCAACTTGTGAAAAGGAATAAAAGAAAAACTTAGGCTGCTGTTAATGTAATTGTAGAAGGGGGCCAGGTTTCAGTAAACAGATTAATCTAGTTGCTTTGATCATAAGGTTCTGGCTTTAGAGTCAAGGATACAAAAAAGGGGGGTTGTGGAATCTCCCTTTGGGGCTAAGGGAAGCTGCTGAAGCCAGGTGTATGTCAGGGGAGCCCCCGCATGGAGGCCTGAAAAGGCCATTGTGTAAAGCAGTGAAGGAGAACCCTGGATTCAATGGGGACCCTGAGATTTTGGAGATGCCAGAGTTGTGGTATACCTGTCAAGGAGGGAGATATAGACCACATGTGGGCCTGTGTGAGCCCGCACGAGAGAGGGAGGGAGAGAGGGAGACATAGGAAGAGAGGGAGAGAGAGAGAGACAGAGAGAGACACAGAGAGAGACAGAGAGAGACAGAGACACAGAGAGAGGGGGGAGAGGGAGAGAGAAGGAGAGAGGGAGAGAGAGACAGAGACAGAGAGGGGGGAGGGAGGGAGAGAGAGAGGGAAGGAGAGAGGGAGAGAGAGAGGGAGAGAGAGACAGAGAGAGACAGAGAGAGACAGAGACAGAGAGAGGGGGGAGGGAGGGAGAGAAGGAGGGAGAGAGAGGGAGGGAGAGAGGGAGAGAGAGAGACAGAGAGAGAGACAGAGAGAGACAGAGACAGAGAGAGGGGGAGAGAGGGAGAGAGAGAGAGGGAGAGAGACAGAGAGAGACAGAGACAGAGAGAGAGAGAGAGAGAGAGAGAGAGGGAGGGAGGGAGGGAGGGAGAGAGGGGGGAGAGAGAGGAAGTGGTGTATTGCAGTCAACAAAGCTGAAAGGAGTTGGAGATATCAAGAGTGCTTTGGTATCAGACATGTAGATGCTCTGTTGGTTTTCAGTCTTGCTTTGGTCCAGCATTTCCTTACTATGTTCCCTTCCTTAGCTTTTAGAATGGTAATGTATATCCTGTGTCATTATAAGTTGGAAGTAAGTGATTTGCTTTTTCCTTCTGATTTTGCATAGGGTTATGAGATTGTAATGACTCTCAGAAGACTGGATATTTAAACAGTGTTGAGAGCATGATAGACTATGGGAACTTTTGAAGGACTGAATATGTTGTTGCATTTTGATATGGCTACAAGCCCATGGGGGCCAGGGAGTGGATTGTGAAGATTTGAGTAGGAATGGTCCTCATAGGCTCATATTTGAATGCTTAGCCACAGGGGAATGGAACTCTTTGAAAGCCTTAGGAGATTGTGTTGGAAGAAATGTATCTCTTGGGGTGGGCTTTTGAGGCATGTGCCATGGAGTCCCCATGCCACATACCAGGCCTAGTCTCTCTCTCTCTGCCTGATGATCAGGATGTAGCTCTTAGCTACTGCTCCTGCTACATGTGTGCTGCCATGCTCTCTGCTCTAATAATAATGGACTAACCCTCTTAAACTGTAGGGAAGTGCTTAGTTAAATGCTTTCTTTTGTAAGAGTTGCATTGGTCATGGTGTGTCTTCACAACAATACAGCAGTGACTAGAACACAGGGTATTGCTATTTAGTTCTGCCTGGCCTGAGACTTGTGGTCATCATTCTGCCTCTTCCTATTGAGTGCTTGTATTATAGGGATTTGCTAGCACACCCACCACTTTCTATATTTTGGTCACTGCTCTACTTGAGATAATAACCTCCCTGCCCAAGGATTGATGGATTTGTTTTAATTCAGGAAATTGTCTAGTAGTCCTGGCTGGTTTAGAACCTAGGCAGGCCCTGAACTCATTTGTTTGCCTTTGCCTCCTGAGTGCTGGCTTCATAGGCCTGTGTCAAAGATTCATCTGTCTTTTAACTCCTGTGAAAATGTACTTGTGAATGGAATTGTTGGCAATTCTATGTCAGTGTTTCCAATATGCAAGAGTTCCATAGCGCTCACTAATGTTTGTTTGTTTGTTTTTCTTTTCTTTTTCTGGTATTTGGGAAGTGAACCTGGGTAGATCCCCATGATAAACATTCTACCTCTAAGCTACGTTCCTAGCTTCCTTCCCCCTTTTCATGCTCTGCAGCCGAGGCTGATCTGGTATGCTCTATGTGGCCTAGGCTGTCAAGACAACACTCCTACTCAGCCTCCTTGGTGCTTCAATCGAAGGTGTGCACCACCATGCTTGACTTTGCATTTTCTATTTTAAATAATTTAGTCATGCCAAGTGTGAAGTAGGATCTCATTTTATTTTGCTTTGCATGTCCGTAATGATTAATGATTTTGAACGTCTTGTTATGTACTTGTTAGCAAGTTCCATGTCTTTGAAGAAATGTCTAGGCGAGTCCCTTACCTCCTATAAATAGACTATTTTTTAATACAAAGTTATCTTTTTTCTGGAGAAATGATTGAATGTATCAACCTATCAACCATAATGGAGTAAACTGATATCTTAACCTGATGGACTGAGACAGACACACACCATACATATAGTGCACTTGACAAATTATTGAACTTGACTGGAGTCCTAGGCAAAGAAAATCCAAACTGAGGAGCTTTCTGCAAAACAGAGATAGAGTCTTCAAAATAGTCACTGTTCATGGTTCATACCTGTCTTCCTAGTATTTGAGAAGCCAAGGCCTTTAACAAATGTGTAGTTAGATCACTATAATATAAAAGCAATGTCAGCCTTGGAGACACCGTGAAACCCAGACTAAAATGTCTCAAACAGTGATTTTTCTTTTTCTGGTATCTGGGAAATGAACCTGGGTAGGGCTCTAGAGATTATTCTAAACACAATTTAAAAATACAGGGTTGTGTCAGGCAGTGGTGGTGCACACCTTTGATCCCAGCACTAGAGAGGCAGAGGCAGATGGATCTCTGTGAGTTCGAGATCAGCCTTCTCTACAAGAGCTAGTTCTAGGACAGCCTCCAAAGCCACAGAGAAACCCTGCCTCAAAACCACTTCCTTCCCTCCCCCCCAAAAAAAAATCATACAGGGTTGCTAACAGCAACTAATGACCTTAGATTGGAAAAATGTCACTACATAGACTTTACTGGAATTTTCAGAAATGGGAACAATGCCTTGTAGGTTATACATTCTGATTATGTAAAAAAATATCTTTGTTCCTAGTTGATAGGCAATGCAATGTTTAGGGGTCGAGAATAAGAGAGTATACAAACTATTGAATGATTTTGCAAAAATAAACCATGCACACACTTAGAAGCAGATGGAGAGAAATGTTTAAAAAAAAACTAATAAGGGCTGGAGAGATGGCTTAGAGGTTAAGAGCACTGGATAGCCTTCCAGAGGTCCTGAGTTCAATTCTCAGCAACCACATGGTGCTCAGAACCATCTATAATGAGATCTCATACCCTCTTCTGGCATGCATGTCAAAACACTGCGTAATAAATAAGTGGGTTAATAGTGTCGATTACTGCATTTTTCTCCTATGTCTCCTATGTTTGACTTTTTTTTTTTCTGAGACAGGGGTTCTATTGGAACCTGTCCTGGAACTTGTGCTATAGACTAGGCAGGCCTCGAACTCACAATGATCCGCCTGCCTCTCTGCCTCTGTCTCCCAAGTGCTGAGGTTAAAGGTGTGTGCCACCACCGCTTGGCTGTTCGATATTTTGTACAATAAAAAAATGGAAAAAGTACAATCTCCTCAAACTCAAAGCGGCCTTTTCTGTTTGTTGGGACATTTTTAGAGTAATACTCAATGATACAATTGTAACCTAAGAAGGACTGAATGCTCAGGGCGCGTATCTTTCAAAGATACTGTTAATTGTTTAAAGAGACAAGAGAACACTGAGGTAAAAAGTATGTGCCAGTCAGCTCGATTCACATCTTTGGTGACCTGGGAAGATGGAAAGAGAAATCAGCCAGGCCTGGATGAGGATAAGGTCTGGTAGAACTGTCTGACCTATTTCGGGTTCAGTTTCCCCATTGTAGGAGGAAGAAAAAGAACTGCTTAGCATGATTTTTGTTTTAAGCTCTCATCTCACGGTATTTACAAAACTGGGCTTCAAGCGCCAAACTTTCTCCATTCAAGCTATGCGCATCTTTTCCTTCATTGACCCCGCGCAGTCCTGTGGGGGTAGGAAGAGGAGAGAGGAAATCACTTCTCCAAGGTCACACACTCAAGGACCCAGGTTCTCGAGCTTCTGGTCCGGTGCCCTTTGCACGCTCGCCAGAGAGGAAGGAGGTGCGCTCGTGGGGCAGCGAGGATGGAGAGGCGCACAGGGAGAGAGAGAAGAGGCCGCGGGGAGCGAGGCGGCCTGAGAGCCGCGGAGGCGCTGGCCAAGGAGGGGCGCACCGAGGGGCGTGCGGCACGACCCGCCCGGGTGCGGAGCGGGGCGGGGCCGGGAAGGAGGGTCGCCCGGCTGGGCCTGGCGCTCGGGAGCGGGCGGCCTGCGGCGGCGGCGGAGGCACACTGCGGGAGGCCGGGAGCGGGGGGCCGGGAGCGAGGGGCCGCGGGCGCTCGGCCGCCTTCTCGCACAGTGGGGCGCGGCGGGGGTCCCGACCCCTACACGCGGGAGGCGCGGCGGGGGCGCGGCGGGGCGGGGCCGCGGCGGGGGCGGGGCCGCGGGGGCGGGTCCCATTGGCCTCCGCGGGAGCGGCCACGGCGGCGCAGGCGCGGTTCCCGCCTCCTCCGGCCGGCGAGCGAGTGGGAGCTGCATCCCGGTGCGGCTGCTGGTCGCGTCGTCGCCGCCGCCGCCGCCGCCGCCTCCGCCGCGGAGTCTCCGGGCCCCCGCCCCCCCCCCACGGCCGGGCCGCCCCGAGTCGGAATGAGCTCCAGGAAAGGTGAGCGGCGCGCGCGGCCCCTTGCCCGCCTCGCGGCCCGCGGGCGGCCGGCCGGACCGTTAATGTGTCTTCTCTCTCCTCAGTGCTGGCCATTCAGGCCCGAAAGCGGAGGCCGAAAAGAGAGAAACATCCGAAAAAGTGAGTCCGCGCGGCGCTCGGGCCCGCCGCCGCCCCGCCTCGGGCCGCCTGCGGCCGCGCAGGCGGAGCTCCCCGGTCCCCGGGCCGCAGGCGGAGGGTCTCCTGGGACGCGGCGCCGGCTCTGCGCGCCCCGGCGAGGGAGGGCGGGAGGGCGGGCGGTGGGGGAGGGGCGCGCGGCCGCCGACTCCGGAGCCGGGACCCGGCCCAGCGGCCTGCGAGCCTCTGGGCTCTGCGCTCGACCCCGAGCCTCGCGCGCCCGAGCCACACCCGCGACCCGTACCCCGGCCCTGGCCCTCCGTCGGTCGGAGGGGCGGGAGGGGAGGCGGCGGCGGCGGCGGCGCGCTGACACCTGGGCTGAGGGAGCCAGGGCGCTGCCGCCTCCGGGTCCCGCGTGGGCCGTCCAGCTTGGCGAGTGGTTTGGCCTCGGGTGCGTTCCTAGCGCGACTTCAGCTCCCGGGTCTTTCCTTCGAAACTTTCTGCTCGGGTCGAGCGTTACTTGCGTGCTGCGGCTGCGCCCAGGTCGCTTGCTGCAGCGGGCGGTGGGCGTGTGCGCGGGCGTGTCCCGCGTGGCGCTCGGGGCTGGATCCTTCGGCTGGTGATGTTTCAAATGTGCCTGCTCCGGCCGTCCCCCGGTTGGGCGGCAGCTGCTGCAGAAGCCTTTCGCGGAGAGCTAGGTGCTCTGAGGCTTCCGAGCGCCGCCGGATGTTCCTTTTTCCTCCTGGGTGTGCCGGACCAGCGTTCAACATCTTTGCTCACATTGGTTGCTTCGTTCTTTTTGCGCAAGAAATTCGTGTGTGGTATCTTTAAAGCTATGGAGAAAAACAGAATCGCCTTTAATAAAACCCCGAAATACTGTCTGGCTTTAAATTGCGAGGGTTGAGCTACTCCTCTGCTCTCTCTCCTAGTTGTTGGTGGTTGGTGGTGGCATCTAGGAAAACTGGCAGTCATTGCTAGTTTGGAAGTGTTTTACAGTAGGATTGTCTTCATTCAAAATTGAATATTACTCGACCGCATTTAGAGTACTAAATAAGATGTGGATATCTACATAACAAATGTTTAATTTAGGAGGCAAAAAGTTTGAAAACTGGAAGATAAAAGTTGAAAATAAGAACAAAGCTTTCAGTAATCTGTGTTTGGATCTGGGGTGTGTACGAGCCCTGACACCTGTGGAAGTCAAGGAACAACTTTCAGGAGTTGATTGTCTTACTATGTGTGGGGCCCAGAGATCAAACCCCAGTTGTCGGGCATGGTGATGAGCATCTTTACCTTCTGAACCATCTTCCTGGCCAGATATGGGGTATTTAAAATATTGAAGCCCAGTGTAGGCTTCTGATAATTTAAGATACCTTCTAAAAACTAGTGCTATTGGGCTGTGGTGGCGCACCCTTTTGATCCTAGCACTCTCGAGGCAGAGGCAGGTGGAGCTCTGTGAATTCGAGGCCAGCCTGGTCTACAGAGCGAGTTCCAGGACAGCCAGGGCTATGCAGAGAAACCCTGTTTCAGGACAAAAACAAAAACAACAACAACAAAAAACCCAAAAAAAGTTCAGAAAGGAGTTGACAAAGCATGACCAAACTTTTTAGGATAGCTCTTTGTCTGTGTATAAACATACTTTTATTTGTGTGCATATTACATGTGCACATAGAAAAAGCATTTTTAATTGAGTAAGCATGTATTTCATTATTTTCCTGTTTTAGGATGTTTCATAATGGTCAAGGATTGTATTTGTGGTATGTAATGAATTAGGAATAGTAACATAATTTATCTAATATCACTTTGCCAGTCTCTTTCATTGTGTACTGAGTTTGAAGGAAAACAGCAACAGTTAATGATGGGATGAACTGGCTTGATGTACAAGGTGGTTATCAGTAAGAACCCAGATCAAATCAGTGATGGTGGGAAGGTATGACTTTTCAATTAGTTTTTTTTAAAATCAGGATATTATTGTTTTATATAATTGCTGGATATAATTATTCATGTGTTCAATATGTATTTATATGCCTTAGAAGATGATGAGAGAGCTTTGTACACGTCAGTAATATCTCACGAAGCTTAAAATTGTGAAGAGAGCCATCAAGCATTTCAGATAGTGCTAAGGACAAAAACATGGAACAACTTACTTAAGTAACACTAGTAAGATGACATTTGTACTCTGGAGCCAGTCATTGCTTGCTGTTTGCATGCATTTCTGTGTTGTGACCCACTGTGAGGTGGGTGTTCTTATTGCTGTTTTCAGATGAGAAAGTAGGGACATAGCAAGTAACATGCCAGGGACCAGAGGCCACTTCAGCTTTGAGGAAATGACATTTGGGCAGAAACTAGGATGAAGAGGAAGAGGGATTGGGTTGGGCTATGTGCTTAACCCAAAGGACATGGTGGTTAAGTGATAGATTCAGGGGAAGATATGAGGCAGGTGTGACATAGACAGGGCTGTGTAGGTTGTTGGAGTCTTATGTCTGGGTGATGGTGCCATTCCTCTCTGAAGAGCATTGGCTGAGTCTGGTCATGGGAGTGGGAATGACAACATAGTTAGCCTGTAGTAATATAATAGTACATGGTAAATGGACGATTGCATTCTAGATTTGAGGAGATCGTCCTCATTTCACAGGCAGCTTTGACAGGTTAGAACCACACAGCCTTGTTTGAATGGCCGGTGTTTCTGCATTTTAAGTCTGGAAGAGACTAATTGTAAACTGTCGTAGTGACTGCCAAACTTGAATGATGATGTGACTGTGGGCCTGGCCTGATGCAGAGAGATCTCCTTTTGTCATTACTTTTTGTTATGTGCAAACTGACTTTTTCTTTTTTCTTCTTCCTCTTCCTCTTCCTCTTCCTCCTCCTCCTCCTCCTCCTCCTCCTCCTCCTCCTCCTCCTCTTCTTCTTCTTCTTCTTCTTCTTCTTCTTCTTCTTCTTCTTCTTCTTCTTCTTCTCTCTGTCTTTCTCGGTCTCTCTGTCTCTGTCTCTCTGTCTTTCTCTGTCTCTGTTTCTCTGTCTTTCTCTGTCTCTGTCTCTGTCTCTCTCCCTCTCTCCCTCCCTCCCTCCCTCCCTCTCTCTCTCTCTCTCTCTCTCTCTCTCTCTCTCTCTCTCTCTCTCTCTCTCTCGCTCTCGCTCTCGCTCTCGCTCTCGCTCTCGCTCTTTCTCTTTTTGAGACAATATTTCTCTGTGTAACCATCATGGTTGTCCTGGAACTTGCAAAGATCTGTCTGCCTCTGCCTCCTGGTATTAAAGGTATGCTACACCACCACCTGGCAGACTTTTTATTAGTTTTATTTCATTGAGTTCTGTAGGCTTTTATGAATTGAATGTGTGTTGTATCGTTCTGTGTTGTGTTGTTGACCACTCCCCCCCATTTATATAGTACATACTGGTCTCAGAATTGAGGTTCTCTTACATAAGGTATGGGATGCTGTGCTGTGCTAAGAGGTTCCTTTTTTGATATTTCAAAATTTGTAGTTGTCAGTAATATTTTATGCTTAGTTGAGTCAAACTTTAATCATTTTACATTGTTTCAAGAGTGTGCTCTGCTCATTATTAATTTTATTTTGTTGAGAGTACAGGTAGCAGGGATTTGCGGTATTGTCATTCAGTCATTAAGTTGATTTAGTCTCTGCCTCTTTTAGGGGGGCAGGGACTAAATCCTCCTGCCTCAGCCTGAATTTTATTGAGATTATAGGTATGCACCATTATACTTCAATCATGAATGTTCTGTGTAAGCTGTATTTCATAACACATGGATTTTTGTCCTAGGGCATTTGTATATGTAGGTAATTAAAATTTTTTTGAGATAATCTTATGTAATTTGGCTGACCTTAGTTAGCATTAATCCTCTTGCCTCTACCTCCTAAGTGCTGGACTCACAAACCTGCATCAAGACATCTGTTTTGTAGATTAAAAAACAATTTTTTTTTCCGATACAGGGTTTCTCTGTAGCTTTGGAGGCTGTCCTGGCACTCACTCTGTAGACCAGGATGGCCTTGAACTCATAGAGATCCACCTGCCTCTGCCTCCAGAGTGCTGGAATCAAAGATATGTGCCACCACTGCCCAGCTAGATAAAATATTTTTAAGGTCTCTTACATTTGTTGGTACTTTTGGGGGGGGGCACTGGGGTCGAGCTGCAGAGCCTCATAAATGGTAGACACATTCTCTGTCCGTGTCTGTGCCTAGACCCAAGTCTCAGTGAGACATAATTCATGAAGTGTAAACATTGTCTTTTAGAGAGCTGGGTGTGGCAGTATGCTTTTATAGGCCTAGGCTGAGACAGGAAGATCGATCTCTCTCTCTCTCTCTCTCTCTCTCTCTCTCTCTCTCTCTCTCTCTCTCTCTGTCTCTCGTTTTTTTTTTTTGAGGCAGAGTTTCTCTGTGTATCCCTGCCTCCTGAGTGCTGAATAAAGGCATGAGCCAACAGGAAGATTTCTTAAACCCAGGAGTATATGATCATCCTGGGTAGCACAAAGGGCTGGAGAGATGACTCAGTGGTTAACAGTATTATCAGCCCTTCCAGAGGACCTGAGTTCAGTTCCCAGCAACCACATGGTGGCTCACAACCATCCATAATGAGATCTGGTGCCCTCTTCTGGCCTGCAGGCATATGTTCATACTTAATAAATGAATCTTAAAATCCAAAACAGCCCCCTCCCCCAAGATTTTAATGTTTTAGAGCTAGAGATGGAACCCAGGGTCTCACCTATCCTGATTAATGGTCCTTTTATACAAGATAGTGTAGCCATAACCATATGACTTTGTTTTGGGTTTCTATCTGTATAGGGATGGGGTAGTAACAATAGTTCTGACACTTTGAGAATGTTAGTAAACAAGTTATACAGTATCAATATGTAACTTTCTGACATTTGGATTTTTTTC